ATGTATATATAATAAAAGAAATAAAATGTATATATAAGAAAATAGTGTATACCAGATTTGCTAAGATAATTAAGTAAGGTATATTGGATATTTGAAAAGTTTCATGCAATATTTATTAGAATTTTGTATAGTGCTGTAGAACAAAATTGTCGGCAGTGCATACTGAATAATATTCATTCCATGGGTTTACGAAGTGATTTTGAGTGGGTAAACTCTTTTGTATTGACTCAAATTTACCCACTTCAAATAGCGCCCTCTTATTGCGTTCACCATATACTTCAACAAGTAAAATAGTTTGGGACGCTTGAAGTAATTATTATCAAAGTTTCAGGTGCACTTCCATCCGCAGAATGTCAAAACGTAGTGTTTTCTGGGTCCCAGTAAGTCCTGTGCAAAATGTCTGTAATTTCCAGAGAAAAGTTGAAAACACCCGTTTGTTTACTTTTTTGCGAGTTAGCGATTTTTGCCTCTCCTTTAAGTATTTCTAGCAGTGAAAAAAAACCATTGAATTTCAACACACAAATGAAACCGTCATTATAGTTGTGTGCACGTTTATATTCCACTTGTCATTAATCTTTCCAATGATTATTATTTCGTGAGAAGTGCGTTTTTAGAGCCCAAAAGAGCGCAACCGGCCAAAAGTCTCCCTTTAAATAATTGAATTTTGATAAAAAAAAAAATCCATATTCTAGCTGGTCTTCCAAAAATACCCTTTTCACAATTTGCTTCATGAAAAAAGGATACTACAAAATGTAAATACATGTCATTGTATATTATTACTATTTAAGAGTCTAAACAAATCTGAAAAAAACTGAAGTTCCTGTTAACAATCAGTTTTCATCCAACCGATTTCTTTTGCCGGCATCAATGTAGCATGGGAAACTCCTGCCTCTAAAGCTCATTGGAAAATTTGACAATTTAAAACTGTGGAGGAGTCTTTTAGTCAGTGGGACGAGGCCTTTTTTTCGCTCGCCACGCGGTCTGGTTCGCCGAATTTTTTTAAACTTCACAGAAGATTATGATGTTTTTACAATACTGGTGAGATTTTGGGGTGAGATAATTGGATCCAGATTGAATAACCTTCTTGTTACCTTATGGTCTTTTTTTATTGTATTCTCAGGTGCGTACATAAGAGATTTAAAGGAGATAACTTTATGACCACTTGACATGGGAATTAATTAAGGGTCATGTATCGAGACTTTTTGCAGTACAGGAACATAAAAATGAATTTTGAAAATTCTCTCTTATGGGAGCGGGGATACATTTCATAATTTTAGGGTAGGAAAAAAAGGAATTACAAAGATACCATGCCATCAATTCAAACTCTGGTCTCTTTTTTTCTGTGTTATGTTGGCCAAAACAGTCGAAGCAGTAACTTGAAAAGCAAAATTGTGTTTCGCTTTTATACAAGAGGAAGTACACTTTTTGATAAAAATGGGGAATGATAACAAGATATATGTCCTTAAGATCATTATATTCATTTTCAAGTACAACTCTAGAGCGAATGTTGGTAAACCCAAGCTCTGCATTTCTACCACTTGTTGCCTTCCAAAGAGCATATCAAGCACGATTATAAACAGGAATAGAGCCAGAGTGATGACCTACTCACATATTGAATTCAGTTGTTTCACCATCAGGCGTGATCTGGTGTTAGTAAACATTGATGTTATGGCCCTTTGAGGTCTGGGAGGAACTCCATAAGCCTTAAGGATTCCCATCATTTTGCCTCGATGAATTGACTCAAATGCCTTCTTGAAATCTATGAAGGTCAAGAAGGCAGGGAGATTGTTCTTCTTCGCTTCTTCAACGATCCTCCTTAAAGCTAGTATTGCTGGACCTCCTTTCCCTGAAACCATTTTGATTCACACAGATTTTTGGTTCTTTGGCACTTTTTAACCTGTTAAGAATCATGCGATTGTACAGTTTGGCAATGTTGCAGGTGACACTGATTTTGTGGTAATTGTCCGTATTTGAGAGGTCGCCTGAGTTTGGAACAGGAATGATATTTGACATCGACAACGGATTTTTTTAAAACGGCCAAGCATTTTGAAAACAAAAACAAAATTGGTTTAGTTGGGGGCGGGATCATGGCACCTGGCCCTGCTGGCCCCCGGATTCGCCCTTGGAACGTGTGTGTGCACGGCTCAACCAGTAACGTTTATAGACGTTGTCACTGCTAAAAAAAAAAAAAAAAAAACTAAAAGCAAATATATTTTGAAAACTGAGAAAAGGTGGATACTCTTGCAAACAAATTGAGGGGAAAAATAAGAAACATTTCGACTTTTAATTAGCCTTGTCCATGTTGTTCTTATCTACACTTGAATCGTTTGAATTCTAAAGGGATATAGCTGCAGCTCATTTGACACGTATATGTACAAAGCGATATATCATGTGCTACGTACAGCATGTTTAGTAGTTTTCAAATTTTAATAATTACAAGTGTTTTGCCAAATTTTTTAAGCATCTTGAAGATACCTTGACGTAACAGCTTCAGTACTTTTCTAATATATATTATAAGTTATCCTGCGAGCGCGAGTGGAACACGGAATAATGTAGTGCGTCTGTGTCCCACATACCACGAGGCCGGAGGTCGATTGGTATTATGGGACACAGACGCACTACATTTTCCGAGTTCCACGAGCGCGAGCGTGATAACGAAATTATCTTCAAGCAAACTTGACGCGCAGTACAGTTGGACCATTGCTCTACACGAACCGTTTAGCGGTTTAGCGCATGCAGCTGGAATGTCGCTCGCATCTTAGAATAGCGCAATACGCAGACCGTGCAATACAGCCTCATATCACACTGTTGTTGCCATGGATCAACCAATCAGGATCGAGGATTCAAGTTTACTTGGAGATAATATAATCCTGCGAGCGCGAGTGGAACACGGAATAATGCAGTGCGTCTGTGTCCCACCAGCCTCGACTCCAGGGGCGCGTGCTCGTTCCTTACACTAACCCCTGGCTGTGATGATGACGTAAATGACGCTGAATGGCTATTCACAGCGTACTGCGCGGGCATTTCGAAGATTGCACGCCGGGCGCGCCCATAATGCGCTCGCGCTCGCATGCTTAGCTTTGCACGTAACGTCACGTACGAAACAAACATTAGAAAAGTCGCGATGCCTATACGATATGGATTATGTCAGCCGCGTTTTTCGCAAAAAAAACACCTGTATTTGTTGTTGTAAAGGCACGAAAGGGGTACGTACATTTAATACAAATCTTTGCTAATTAACACAACGTCCAAACGTTGTGTTTGAAAGGATTTGGGATTCTTCAAAATCACAACTTTTAACTTTTTAAAGATGGCGTCGGCACGTAAAACGGATAAACTGCAGCCCTAATCATAATATACCGTATTTTGGTATATTTAAATTACACAATTCCAGGGGTTACGATCGCGCAAGGCATGATGGGAAACAACATGGCGCTGCAAGATCGTACCCACGGGGCACGAGGTTGGTGTCCCACATACCACGAGGCCGAAGGCCGAGTGGTATGTGGGACACATACTACATTATTCCATACTACATTATTCCATACATTATTCCATACTACATTATTCCGTGTCACAAGCGCGAGCGTGATAACGAATTCATCTTCAAGCAAACATGACGCGCAGTAAAGTTGGACCATCGCTTTACACGAACCTTTTAGCGGTTTAGCGCATGCAGCTAGAATGTCGCTCGCATCCATAGATACAGAATAAAAAGACTATTTTATATCTATGCTCGCATCTTGGAATAGCGCAATACGCAGGGTGCGATATAGACCGTGCAATACAGCCTCATATCACACTGTTGTTGCCATGGATCGACCAATCAGGATCGAGGATACAGGTTTGCTTAAAGATAATATATGATAACACATTCAATGAATGAACATATATGTGCCACCTTCAAAGCGCAGATTGGCATCATTGTACATGCACATTTATCGGCTACATTAAAAGTCACAATTAAGCATATTCACTTTCTCTACTTATTGACAACACGAAAAATAAAACAGATGCATGTTCAGCTCAGAAAAAGCCTCTGATAGAAAAGTGAGAAAAAAAGTCCTTATCGTTTCTCTGATCTGACGGCGGTGCTATACAGGGTGAGTAAAAAAAAACCACGAAACCAAAATGTCGGGACCATTGTTCTATTGAAGTTCTGCATGTAGCACTTTCAAAATCTAGGATATAAAATCTCAATTCATGAGCTTTTTTTAGTTCAAGAATCATTCAAATCACTTATTTGCTTTTTAAGTTACGGAATTTTAAACACAACCACTGTTTTAAAGTTCTGTCCATGGATCACACAAAAGGTGTGCGTTCTTTCAGAAAATTGAAAACAATTCACATACATCCCTATGTGATTTTTTTCGTTTTGACGAAAGAATACTCACCTGTTTGCAATTCGAATGATTCTTGTACTAAAAAAAAAAGCTCATGAATTCAGCTTTCATATCTTAGATTTTGAAAGTGCTACATGCAGAACTTCACTAAAACAATGGTCCCGACATTTGGGTTTCGTTTTTTTTTACTCATACTGTATTCGCATATTATCTTCAGTCAGGGAAACTTCAGACTGGCCACTTTTTTGGGCTTTATATTTATCGGATCCTTCTTCAAAATACAATAAGACGTGACATACCTATGCTGATGGGGGGAATTGAGCTATCCATCCATTTATAAGAGTGTCAATCTGCTGTAATATTGCGAGAGTCAATCGTTCACCGCACACAATAGTTACGCTGCCATGTTTGTTTGCGTTATGCCTCGCTTTGATTTTCAAGATGGCGTACCCTTGATAAAGGTCTTTTGACATATACATTTGCTAATACAAACGGCTTCTTGGGCGGATATAGCATAGTGAATGCTGGGGGTCCGGGGCATGCACCACCCACCCCCTCCCCCCTCCCCCCTCCCCCCTCCCCCCTCCCCCCTCCCCCCTCCCCCCTCCCCCCTCCCCCCTCCCCCCTCCCCCTCCCCCCTCCCCCCTCCCCCCCCCCCCCCCGCCCTGAACATTGTGAAATCTACGATACTTTCCCCGCCATTCTATAACACTGTTTGAGAATATAGGAACTTTAGAATTATTTTTCTTTTCTTTGGGCCCAATTTTACTGGTATCATAACATTATCAGAAGCTCAGGGGCTTCATCCGCCCCCAGATTTGGGCTTGATATGAAATAAATAGAGCGAGTGTTTCTCAAATGCTTTTTTTCCGAATTACAAAATTTCAGGACAATAATTTCTCCCATACTAATTCTTTGTAAAAACACCGTACCTTCTAGCAACTAACACATAATATTTCTTTCTTCAATTCGTACATAACATTTCTCTTATTCGTTGTCATGTTCTTAACTTATATTATGTCCTTAAAGTACACAGGAAAAAGCAAGCTTGCTCTAGGACGGTCAAGATTTCTTTGGAGAATTGCCTTTCTTTTTAAAGTGTACTCCCAGGGTTTGTTTTCACTCTAAGTCTTACCAATCAGCTAATTATATATACGTACACACTGACTAACGATTAACCAGTATGCATTTTAAATGCATCAGTAATGTACATTCACAAATTTTAAGAAGAAAAAAAAAGAACTAATAAATATTCATCAAATTTCATTCAAGCTACCGAATAATTCTTGAGTAGAGCCGGTATTTACAAGCATGAATATGTTCGGTTTTTTTTCTACGACAGAGCTACCTTTTGACGTTGAAATCACTTGACTCACTCATCGGCAATGTAATGAGTCTGACTTAATAGCAGCCAATCACTTCAAACCTCATGCAGCAATAGTTGTTCCATTCCGTTGGGTGAATGCGCAGGATTCTGGTGCGCAAGGCAAACGGCAGGCGAGTAGTAACCAGTGTGTTCATGTCCTTGTTACCAGGGAACTGTTCAAAACACAAAACAGAAGAATGGTGTGTTCATGCTGTAGACATTCGAATTGATTCATTATGTCCAGTGGCATATCCAGAGGGGGGGGGGGGGAGGGGGGGCAGGGGCACCGTGCCCCCCCCCCCCCCCCGGATGATTTTTGAAAGATATTTTGCTCAGTAAGTATTTCCATAAATGTTAGAGAGTTCTGACATCAACCCAAAAAAAAAGAAAACCAGCTAAAAAAAAATTGTGATATTTATGTCAGAACACAAAAACGGGGAGCTTGATCAAGTCCCCCTTGTCAGGTTTTGCGTAATTTTTAGCCCAATTTACGGACACCTTATTTCCCCCTTTTTTGGTTTTTGTTGGCTAAATATCAAGATGATTTATATTTATACATGATTTCCCATTCGTTTTTGTTAGGATAACTGTGTCATTAAGTAACATTGTGAGTTTGAAGCTCATCAATACTTAGATTTGGCAAGACTACTTGATGATATCTGAAGGAAAAGGAAATGCGCGTAACCTTAGGGTATAGGCCCCTAAAGGGAGCCATTTTGGATCTTTATTATGTCTTCATAATCTTCAAGTCTCCGATATTCTTTGAAAAAAAAAAAGTGAGTAAGGATATGTAAGTAAAATCCCCAAAATATACTTTTCAAAAATGGAAAAAAAATAGATCTACCCAAAATTGGGAATAAATAAAATACACGACAGGGATTAACGCCTTAATATGCAAATTAGGCACTCTTCCCAAAAGAATTGCAGGTGTCACCCCTTCTTAATACTTTCTCTAGGGCTATAAGAATCTTTATGCCAGGTTTGGTGCTTTGGACCAGTTGGTCACGATTCCAACCGTATGCAACCTGACTATATACCTTTATTGGTGTGCCGTCTGCATCAGTCACGTTATTCCAGGACTGACCATCTTCGCTGTACGTCACTTGGTACTCCGTCACCCAATATGTGTAATCTCCGCTCGCCTGGGTGATCAGACCAGTGATGGTGACTGTGCCAACGAAGTCAACCTGTATCCATGGACTGGTGTTATCAGTAATTTTATCATAACACCATGCTGCAGCGAATCCTGTACAACAACAAAAAACCTAAGATTTCTTACTGCATTCAACGATTTAGCCATATTGCAGGAGATCTGGCTCAAATTTGGACTTCGAGGTATGTTTAACAATCTTTGCCAATAATCTTTGTCTGACCCAACGCTAGACGATTAAGTTGACAAGCGTATCGTCCATGGGCGTTTTTGGCCATTTTGAAAGGGGGGGGTGTCGAATCACGAAATTTGCCGACGGACCGTCACAGAATTTTTTTAATGGTAATTTCCGCCCCAAAAGATCCCTTAAATCTATTTCTTATTCCCCCACATCATGTATTATTATGGTTTAATATGTTGATTACTTTGAATGGAATTAATTTTTCAGTGGGATAAGTTCAACTTCAAACTAAAGAAAATCGTCAAAATTGGCCCTGTCATATTGAAAACGTTTTGGACATGCTCGTCTCAAAACTGCGTGTACACGCCCACAGTACCTGTGGGCATACCTTGTTCAGGCCCATTCCCAGATCCCAGCCTGGGGGATCCTTAAATCCTAAAGTGGATTTCTTTTTATATGCGAGATCTCTTTTTATATGCGAGAGGTGAGCGCGAACCCCTGAAGGCGTGGGGTCAGGGGCCGCCTGAGGGCCCCGAAAAAGTTTTGGATTTTAGATGCTCTGTGGTTCAATCTGAAGGATTTTCTGGGCACTTTCCCCTGACTTTTTATGATGTACTGGCTCGTGTTTAGGGAGATGAGGGAGGGGGGGTCATCAAAGTTGATGTATTACATCACAAATGTTACATCAAACTGAAGCTTGACACTCTTTCGAGTTTTGCCCTCTTTAGCTTGAGCCATGGATTTGAGTCGTCACCAAGGGGGGGGAGGGCAGAGGGGGCTCCGTGAAGATCATGAACGATGGTCTGTGTGCCTCTGTGTGCCTCTTCCATTCGTAAAAAAAGGGTTGTGTAAAATGGTGATAATAGAAATATCCCTTTTAAAGTCGTTATTTGTACGCTTTCTTTTTTTCTACGGTCTTAACTCGAGCACTTGTTCCATACCAAATGTACAGTATTGAAAGGCAAATTCTATAAAAGAGTCTGTATTTGCTTCGTTCTGTCATGCAGTGAGTCCTGTACGCCGACACGTGGTCCATGCACTTACAGTGTATCGTACAATCGTCATGACGTCCCTATAATTCCTGCTTAAAAGATTTTTTTGTGGAAATGCTTTTTTAACATTTCGTTTTTATTTCCAAAAAAGATCATCGAAGGTCTAATCTTTTTTCCGTAGTCGTTTAAAGAAAATCTCTCAGTTCAACATGATCGTTTTTAAAAATCAAATTTATGAACATGACGTAAATAAAAATGGTTTATCTCCACGGTACTTTTGCTGTGTCTCAGTGTGGCGTGATGACTGTGTGTGGGTCAGTGCACGGCCGTTGGGCGCTAGTCTGATTCCCAGACCTGACATTTATTCCCCACGCTCACGTCTAAAATTGTAGGTCAGGCAGCCTCTGTGGCTAAAAGTAAAAATGACGACATTGATGGCCCTTTTTTAAAGCTCGGCTTCGTTTCCGACATCACCTAATCACTAATAGCTTTTAATGTTCTGATCAAATATTTAGATACATCAATTGCTTCGTATAAACATACGGTCGTTAAATTCAAAATAGTACAAGACGCTGCAAAGTTCGCCCGTACGATCCAAGTATACTTGATGCACAAAATCGTCGTTGAATTTCAAGTTTTCGAAATGAAAGAAATTGATATTAATTATCAACTCATTTAAAAGTTTTTAATAAGCAATTAGCAGTTAATTAAACAGAAATTGTACTCGAAAATACTCGGGCGCTTGTTGCAGACGTGCAAGAAACAACATTTGTGTTGGTGTTGTGTGTATTATGTGACGCACACACGACGTGTAAGGTACATTGAATGGAAACGGCGGGAAATACGTATATGTATGCCACAAAAGTCCACCGCGTGCGATGTAAACATATATTCATCCGTCTTTTCTCAAGAACGGTAAGACATTAGGTTAGTTTCCTTTGAAGACATTTGAAAGAGTATAAAGAAACAACCCTAACAACATAATAATTTCGTGAATTTCAGGCCGAATAATACCCCTTAGTTAAAAGGGCCAGTACCCGATTTAACTAAACGATGCGACGCGTCGCAACTCAATTTACGACGTGTAACACGTCGCAACTCGCGATGCGTCGTATCATCCATTAAACGAAACTTGAGTGTTGAAGGCGTTGTTTTCAAGTGGTCATTACCAAATAAGAAGAGTCCTTTTCTTAGCCAGTTTTATGCCTTAATCATCACATAAACGAGATTATAATACCGAGGCAGTGTGTGTAAAGTTGTAAATAGAAAATTCATTGAATAATTATGAAATAACCTGGAATATTGCAGTTACAATTTCAAAGTAGCTATACAGTCCACTGAGAGCTTGTTTTCCTTTAAAATTGCTTCACACGGCCGCCATTTTATTTGACGTTTAACAAATTTTGGGCGGAGGTCCGACGACTGATTGTTGAATATCAGATGACTATTTGCTGTACGCTGACTAAAGACTAGCCTTGGTCAAGGCGCTAGTTGTTATTAATCCCGGCCGTAGCGCGGTAAACGATATCTGAAACCGGCATTTTTTAAAGGGATATTACGTTCTTGAATGCGCCAAGTTGGGCAACAAAATTGGAGAGAGCATTTAGAAAAAGGATATAAATATCGACACCATAACATTCCTTTAAAAGACAAAATCGAGCTGTTGGGTGCTGGTCTTGAATTCTGCCGCACTTGTCTTACCAGTGCATTGCATTTTGCGGACGCGCGAGAAACACTATTTGTGCCGTGTGTATTATTTGCCACACTCGCGCAACGAGTACCGTACATTGAATGGACACGGCTGAAATGTCCGCCGCGTTCGATCCACGCGATGTAAACGACCGTCACCCCCTACTTTCTTAAGAACGGTAAGACATTATAATATTGGTTTTCCCGGCCAATTTCACCAAGTTCTCATTCAATTTAACGCCTGGCTCATTCGATTTAGATTGAAATTGAAAGATCATGCAGATCGGCATTCGACAGTCAAAAAGAATCATTCAATTTCACTATCCGAGCATTCTATAGCCTTTTAGCTTCACTCGTCCCCATCAAAGATGCATTCATATTAAAAGTATCGCGTTGTTCATTCAATTTCGTCTAAACCATTAGTAAGGGGTTGATCGGGCATTCGTTTTCATTAATGGGTGAACGTGTTTCACATTTTGTCAAACATCTTTTAAAACTTAATACGTGTCCGTATTCCTTAGCGTATATCATATTTGATGACTTCAAACCGTAGATTGACTTTCTTTCTTAAAGGGTATGTGCAATGAATTTTTCTCAGGAATTCTTTTTGCGCAAGTGTGTGAAATGTTAAACTACACATTTGACAACACTTTTTGGGTTAATCTTATTGCAAATGTGCACTTCTTGAGGCATTTAAAAGTGTCCATGTTTTTCCGGACTAGGGCCCTGTCACACTTCTGCGTATCCTAATTCCTTATGAGTTGCGCATTGACATTTTTTTTCATACGCAGTCGTACGCACAATACGCACCTCATATGCATTTCTATCGTTTTGTGTAAGTTTTATGTACGCAGGAATGCGCATGGTACGACCCAGTACGCAGGATAGTTTTGGGCATGCACAAAACTACGCTGCGTACGCTGTTACGCAGGTCATAAGTTATAAATACGCAGCGCATCGGTCACGCATCGGTCGAGTGCGTTACGAGTACGCTATGTGTTCGTGACGCATCCCGTCAGCATATAAGCCACCTGTATTGGACGTATACATAGCGTACTTGCAGCGCAGATGCCACGCACGCTGAACGGCGAGCGGCGGAAATGCGGCGGGAATACGCTCAGAAGTGCGTCAAGCATGCGGTTGGCATAAGTCGGGTGCGTCCGGAATATGCTGGGCATGCGCACTGCATACTGACCTATTCGCAGCCCGAAAAATAATGTTGTGCACTGCATACGCAACTCTACGCATCTCGTACGCAATGGATGCGTTGAATTCGTTACTTGTACGCTAGATGTGCGTCGCACATAAGTCAAAGTGATCAAACATTTCGACGTAAATTGAGCGTACGGCTGCGTATTGAAAATTTTTGATAAGGAACTCATAAAGAATTAGGATACGCAAAAGTGTGACAGGGGCTTAACGCTGATGCTGTGATGTCATTTCAGAAAGACACTGTTCAGTTTAGGGTTTTTTCTTTCAAATTATTCATCCAAAATTTGCTAATTGAAAACATTTGTGGGAAAGGGATGGTCAATTGCTTACTGCCATGTACTGACACACCATACAATCACCAAATAAGAGAAATTTATGACAGCAAAATATCCAAAATTCTAGCAACTTTTTTTGCTGAAATAGTCGTGTAACATTAATCATGCTCGGAATGCCATCACGGGTTTCTAATGAATATGAAACTTTGCATTAGCATAAATACGGAGAAGGCATCAAAAACACCCCTCAAAATGGAAAATAAAACTTGCAAATGAGGTTAAATGAGACACAAAGATGTATTGCATTGAAAACTGTGCATGGGCCCTATAAATATGGTAAGTGTTCGGTCAGACATACGTAAGAAAACACTTAAGAATTAACGCAAGAGATGTGTTCCCGCATTTCGAAACATATTACGTGTCCCGATGAAGAAATCGTCAACGTAAAAAAGCCCCTTGATCAAACGTTTAAACAAGTAGAAAAGATCAACAGTGAAAAAGAAATTATCTTCGTACCTTTCAATTCATTATTTCGTTGCATCTTGTTTCCCTCATATCAGTTGATTTGTATGGTGGCTTTAAAGGGACATCGCACATATATATTGACGCCAATATTGACGCCAATATTCACGACATGGCCCCCATGTCGCAAATATTGACGCCAATATTGACGCCAATATTCACGACATGGAGCCAAGTCGCAAATATTGACGCCAATATTGACGCCAATATTCACGACATGGAGCC